TATATATATATATCAATCAGATTTTGTTTTTGGCAAAGTTTCATATTCAAAAAGTAAAATAATGCACAGAAAACCGCTTTTTGACCTCTTTACAATGGATGTAAAATTATATCTTAATGCACTTTCAGACTCAAACAACAAGTAAAAACAACAAATATTTGTAGTATACACAACCTTATTCTGTAACTCTTGTTTTTTTCTTTCCTTTAAACTGCTTCAGTTCTTGATCTGTTCCTGTGAAATGTTTTGTAAGATTTGCAGAATTGTTAATAAAAACCAAAACATGGAGGAGCAAAGATGGCGACCATACTGGGCTACAGCTCACAGTCGACCAAACAACTATTTGATTAACAGCAACTGGACCTGAGTCACAAACTATTATTTGGTAGTATTTTTACAATAAATAAGTATTTTTTGTTAATTTCATTCAACAATCATGTAAAACAGCAGAAGATATTTAAGAAAAATATACAATTTATACGTATTTAAACCAGACCTGAAGTCAGTCAACAACAGACATTTTAGCTAGTTGAATTATTATGACTTCAGCTGGTAATAAAGTATATTTATAGTCATTTACCTGTAAAAATTTAATAAACATTTTCCAGTCAATACTTAGAAAATATTAACTGTTTATACCAGTTATAGGATAAACCATCTTCTCAACAGGTCAGGTTCCTCTAACAGAAACCTTTACAATATTATTTTACACTGTGTAAATATTACATAAATCAGAAACAAAACCAGCTTATAATATTTAATTAAATGTTGTAAATTTAGCTAATTACATGTTGCCTGGTCTGGTTCGTGTCGTAGCGTCTGTCACATGGTCAGCACTCACTCCTGCTGGTCTGCAGACCTCTGTGGTGCCTTCATGGTCTGTACGACTCCAGGAACGAACGGTTTTCAGTGTAGACAAAAGAAAAAACATTGAATGAGAAGGAGTGTGTCTAAACCTGTTTGACTGTACAGATCTGTAATGTAACTTTACAGCAGCTGCTGTTACAGCTGACAACAAGACAAACATTAACAGGATTATTCTCAGGAAAAACAAACTTCATCCTGTAAACAGTTTGAGCTCCTCTGGATGTGATATTTCACTGTGCTGATCTTTAACATGAATCTGATGGAGGATAAATTATAAACACTTCCTGTTATCACTGCAGTCACAACAAAACATTGTGATAAAATATAAATGCGTCATATTTTATGGTAGCATGGGGGTTCACTAAGGACTTTTCTTTCCTATAACATTTTTTCACAGATTATTTT